ATTTAACCATTTAGCTATTAAGACCGTAATTGTTCTTATTATACAATAAGAATATTGATATATGCAGTATTGGCGTATTGACTCATTTTATAAGGCACTCACGTTTAATGTCTATATATCCATCTGGGAGAAATAAACAACGACGCAAAAGCAATATGGATGTTCCATAAATTACCTCGAAATTCGTTTCAATAGCGTTTACTTTATTTAATACAGTAAGGCTCTTTTGTTTCGCTCTCGTGGGAGTATTGCTAATGTATATTTTCATATTATGTACGCCGTCGTTAGTTTCAAACGAAATTCTGTGCACAATCTTCAGAGGGCTAGCATTAAATTTACTTAAATAGATAGATAGCAATCTTATGCAAGTTTACAGAAAGCTTTTAAATGTATAACATAGTTGATTAGGTCTGATCACATCGTTCACCCATTGTTTTGTATCTTGTATAGCGCAAAAATACGTTTAATTGTGTATCCATAACAACCGTGCTTTTCGTATGGACAAGTTATTTCATACACTAATTTGTAAATGTTTCCCCCGGTAATCAATTCCGTTTAAAAATGGGTCTTGGAGACGATTACTTCTATTACATTAAGGTAAGTTATGAATTTAACAAATAAGGTTAACGATTAACGCTACAGTGGATTTATATAAATGGTACTAGACTAAACGTACTAAGAGAGATTATAAGTACATAGGTTCATACGGTACAAAATAAATATTATGATATATGTATTTAAATTGCATACTTTAAACAATTTAAAACGCATAATATATTACTTAACTTATTTACAATTTTAACTACTGCTCGAAGTTTTGTTCCCTCGCGACCACGGTTGCATTGAAAGCATCCGAAACGTCGGACCATAGTTAATATAGGCGCGTTTTAAACCGTTACAGGGATTTTTGTATTATTAGCATAAACTATAAGGTAGGTGCGGCCAATAAGGCCTGTCGGGTAATAAGGCCTAAGCAAAAAACTTTGAGTAGACCCCCCACTACTCACAGTCATAGGTAGCTAACAGCCTAAGATGGTGCCCCAAACATGTCGCGACTCGCAGGCCCGCATGGTTCCGAGAGTGTGGGGTCACTAATCGTGGCCGGTGAACGCATATCTCGAATAATAATATGACGGTCGAACAAATCGTAAATATTTTATGAAAAAAAAATTTTTTTCTACGTTATTTTGCAGTTTACATCATTTTAGTTAATGTTTTGAAGACCTGTCTGTACAAAAAATTGTAAATTACACGAAACATTTTATTTTAAAAATTTCTTGACAACGTGGTCGGTGGTTAATAAGGCCTATGAAAATCGACCCTAGGCCTTATTACCCTCCTTAAAGTATTATCAAGTGATTACATAAATTAGGTCTTTAGAACCTTTACAGAAATTAGAAGCACCAGCTCCTTTTCCAGGCTTGTCGATGTAGAAAATTTACCACCTCCACTCCATTAAGGCAAATGGCTCCCGAGACGCCTCAGTCATCGACACCGAGGCAAGAACAAACAAATGATCATACCAAAAAGATCCTCCAACATGTTTTACAGAATGGTTAAGGTAGATCCAGCTCTATGATGAGGATAATGTACCCTTCGCTCAAGTAAAAAAACATATTTAAGCAACTCCTCCTACACCAGCTAAAAATACAGAAAAGACATCAACAGTCATAATAAACGCCATCAATTACAGAGGAATACCAGTTAGCAAAGAGCTGTCTAATAAGAACAACGTTGTCACGCATGCCACCAGGACCAAGAGACTGCTATGAGGGTGTGTCACAAATGCAGCAAGTGGTACCACGAGGAGTGCGTGGGTTTGTCAGAGGATGATTCTGAGTCGTCATGTTGAGTGTCCAGTTGTTCCTAATTTGAAAAATAATGTTATTTTTAAGCCTTTACTGTGTGATTATCGCATTACAATATTTTATTGATCTCAAATACTAAATATAAGAAGTTTATTTCGTTATTGGAGTTTAAAGTCTTAGGCCTTATTATTATACTACCATAGTTTAATAAGGCCTAAGTACAGTGTTTTTAAAAGCAGTAATTAAAACTATAATTATAGCATAGGTTGCTGTTTTCCGTTTTTATTTGATAGTTATTAATATAAAAGTTTAAATTACATTAAAATTTGTTGATTTGTTTTAACAGTTTTTGATTTATTTCAGTTCCTGCTTACTAGCCTTATTCGCCGCACCTACCTTAGACAATGCTATGTAATTTTATGGTACTTAGGGCTCCATCAAAGAATTTAAATTGGATTGTCATCACATTAAAGTTTACTCTATGAATTCCGATTTGTAACGTGCATAATGATCACTTATCACTTATCAAATCACGTTATCAATCATTTCTAAAACGTAATCCCCAGTGGGAATATTTCGTGCATAGTTTTTCCTGTAAAGAAAAATTACTGTCGGATGGCTCGCGGCGTCTGTCGTGTCACAAGTGTGGAACAGGACGTCTCATTTATCAAGGGAAGGAGACATGTATACTTTATACACGAACAACACTGTGTGAGTGCGTTTTAACTTGAATAGGCACGAACATAGGCTGGCTTTTAGACAATCGAGGCTGTATTTAAAAATATCTTTTAATATTGCACAATGTCAGTACCTAGTATACTTCAAATGTTTCTTAATGATAGAGTTCATGGCGTTTACTTGAACGTAGATAACATCTAAAGAAGAGCGCTGTCGACCTATTTTGGCTTTAGAGTATTCGGAAATCCACAGACTTAAACCGAAATTCGATTAGACAAAAAGTTCGTGATCCGGACGAAAATTCGATATTCCTCGGTAAGTTCTTATATTTTAGAAAAAACATAAATTGACTAAAAAAAATATTGGACTTGGTTGATATCGCACCCCCGATCCATTGACGATTAGCCATACATTATACCAACGAGCCTGTCAAAGAGTTACCATAAAATTTGGCGTCTAAATCGCCCCTGTAAACAATAACTTTATTACTTTTATTTACGAAGCGAAGTACGCAGCGTACATATTTCGTAACTATAATAATTACTTTTTAGAATTAAGGTTCTATAAGAAAACGTAAAAGGTTGTTCAATTAAAATGCTCCTTCAACGGTGTCATTCAAATACTCGAGTTACATACGCCGTATTGGTTAGTTCAATAAAATAGACATATGAACAGTGAAGAAAATACTGTCAGCGACACTTGGAAATTGGAAGTTAGCCAATGTCAACAATTCAGTGGCCGATAAATGTATCAAATAGTCGTGGAAAAGTGGTCATGACTGGACCGTTATCTAATGTGCTTGATAGGAATTGTGTTATAAGCGATGTTTTCGTTATTTTTTAATCTATATTCTATCTGTATTATGGTCACGGTGATATGTTTACATCCAAACGACAACAAATTATTGAACTAAACTTTTTCAAAATCATTTACGAGGAATGACAAAAAATCGTTATATAATATGTTTCAATTTCATTGTGGTAAGCAAATTAAGTTTTGGGATAGGAATGTCCACTATCCGTCGTGTCAAGTCAATTCTTTTAAACCTACCTTTACCTATTTCACTTTTCTTTTGTATTGTAGGTGTCTGTTTAAATTTGTATGTTTAATTCTTATGCCAACAGAGAGAAGCAATGGTGAGAACATGTTTTAGTATAAGCTCTGTATGCTAGAAGAAATTAATTAATGTTAATTTAATATAGCGTTTGTAAGCTAGACCCAGCAGTGTTTATTGAAAATCATAAACTTACCTAGGCAACGCGACCAGACGTTGTTTTATGTTTAGACTTTAATTCGCATCTGGCTGATTAAATTTCGTCGCAATAACGAAGGAGTAAGTACTCTAGGGGAGACTTGACTAAATTGGAAAACCATCGCACAAAATTCGTTTCGGTAGTTTAAACAGATTCATTTAAACATCACATGTTTTATTAAACTGCTAGCTTTTACCTGTGGCTTTGCTCTCGGGTGTGTTTCTTTTTTGTAATAAGTTTTAATTTATTTTGTTTCGGGATCGCGATAAATCAAAATAAACCAAGAACCAGTGGTTAAGATGTTTTTGAGTTTTAGTTTTCGAGTATTTTCTGTAGTTAGTCCTTGATCCATTATTTTTAGCATGAATAGTTTAATATTGAACTATGTGTGACTTAAATTTTACAGCTAACCAAATCTTTGTATGTATCTCTTACTCCAACTTACAGTTACAACCGAGGTCAATGAAACACATCCCAAATCTCTAGGCTTTTTAATTTTCCCAACTGAAAATGTAAAATATTTCTCTGTAATAAGTCTCTGCGCGTTGCAACGTGCCGCGTTCGGGAATGATATTCATTTTACTCGCTAGAAATAAAATTTACCTAACTAGCTCATTTCCAGGTGCTGGTAAAACGTAATTAGTGGTTGTGAGGTTTCTGCGGTAGGTGTAGGCTGCGCCAGAATATGTAAAAGTTACAGTTGGTCAAATCGATAGTTGATTATATTTAAATGGGATTGCCAATGCTATTCTTTTAGCTATGTCAAATTTGAAAATAGTTCTTATCTTACAACAAGCGTATTGTTATAGTAATTTAATTTGAGAAAAAGTAATTAGTGCTAAAACTAAGTAGTGCTAGATTTGTAATATAAAATGGTGTACTGTTTGCGAGTAAACTGTGCTCGATCTCGTTGTGACGCCGCCGGATGAAGCGATAAACTCGAAACCGCATAATTATTCTTCCGAATGACGGAACTCATCCAGACTGCAGATCTGCATTTGTGCTAAAATTACGTTCGACTTATTTCCTACGGCCAAGTTCGTTAAAGGCTAGACGGCTTATAATAGAGTTTTGATTGAGACGTTTCGTAAAGCCAATTAATATTGTATCCATGACAGTCGATATTTACATTAAGTTTTTTTGTTGTCCCAATACTTACTATTATACTTATGTTTAAAGCTCTTGTATCGCTGTTTTTGTTACTTTTAAAATTGTAAACCTTGTTTTCATATTAATACTAACCCAAAGAAACTTCTTTCAGGTAAAGAAGATGGCGGAGCGTGTATCGAAGTGCCGCGACGATGTGGCAAGGAACCGCGACAAGTACCAAGCCGCTCTCGCCGAGATTACGGCCTACAACCCCCGCTACATGGAAGACATGACGACTGTGTTCGAGAGATGCCAACAGATGGAGGCGCAGAGGCTCACCTTCTTTAAGGATGTGCTCTTCAGCTTCCACAAATGCCTCAACATTAGCCAGGAACCTACGTAAGTCTATACATCTGTTTAACACGCGAAATGTATTAAAAGTTTACAAATTATTTCTATTTTAACTACGGCCCAACGTTTCGAATGCTTTGCAGCAGTTTGTGGCACAGGGTTGTAAAGTTCTAGTAATATATTCCGTCTTTTAAACCGTTAAAAGTGTTTTATTAAAATGTGCACTAGTCGCGTAAACTACAGTATTTAATGACAGATCAAATAGGATTGCGCTTAAATGACGACAAAACATTTTTTTTACTTTGACGTAGTCTGTGTATATACTTTATTATTGTAGTAGGTAAAGTTATAACATATATCTCAAAATTGATAACGTATTTCTTTTTTATTTAAATTTGTTTAAAATATATATCCTCATAATATTTGTTTTAGTGTTACCGTATTAGTTTTGTTTTAGTTTGATTTACCTTGTATTTACTTTTAAGTGTAATAAATAAGAAATTCATTTCAATATTTACTTACATTCACGGTAAAATGCAATATATCACTTCACAAGACGGGTTTGTTATATTGTTAACATTTGAAACATAACATTTCAGATTACCACAGATATACGAAGAATTCCACCATACGATAAACAACGCTGACCACCAGAAAGACCTCAAGTGGTGGGCGAACAACCACGGGATCAATATGGCCATGGCGTGGCCACAGTTCGAGGTATAACCGTCGCTACTCCCATTACTCTATGTCGTTATGTATGCCTCTAACTTACGCTTCACTCTATACTCGCGCTAATGGACAAAAAGAGTTCTAACCAAAATATGTTCTCTTGATTACTTTATTACTAGAAACTATTCGATTTTTGTCTCGTTCATCTATAATTTTATTGACATGTGCGCGAGAAAGACTAAAGATTTACAATAGCTGGTTTGGTTGTTCTAGAATAATTCGAACTCTCTTTTTCCATCGTAAGTTAGATACCGCATGCTAGAAAATTTCTAGTACTCCTCTTAACGATTGGCTGATTTCTTATATTTGCCTGCTTCTTAGCCTTCCAAGTTTTTAACTAGCTTCCTATAGACCTACAGTTAACCCTAATATCAATATTACTCTCTTGATTGTAACGTGTTTGATCAAGTCACAGAGTTACAAACTGTATAAGCAAACATGAGTTTTGAAATTGTGCTTACGAAATACACACAACACACATCACGTACTCAGGACGTTATTAAAATTTTCCGTCTTTCAAAAGTCTCTTAATTAAATTGAGAGTAATTTGTATACAGCGGTTTTGCCATAATTAAAACGATCTCCTTAGGACAAAATCTAATATGTATTAAGGGTTCATATATTGTAAGATTCAAGATGGGACTGTGATAAAGAAAGTTTGGAAGGGTAATCGCGTGGGTGGATTGACAGCGGCCGGCACAAATTGCGAATAAAACTGGCAACTCCCGACGGAACTCCCAATTGGACTCGTGGGAAATTGGACATTTGCTCTTTAAAGGCGGGTTTTATATGATTATACGCAAACATGACGATACTCTACAGTTGTTTGTTGCGAACATAAAAGGGTTTCACGATATGGACACAAATTTGGCACATACGAACACTAGATAGGCGTTTTGCCAATTTTCGCACGCAACGAATACAATCATTATGACTAAAAATCCTAACACCCCATGTGTCTGTGCGCCAGTGAAAGGTTAAAATTTATACACAACAACAAAGATAATCACCAAAAATGTTAATATTGCACAAATGTCATGAGCGAACATAGAATTAGAAAAAGTGCCCAATAGGACGAACCGTCGGAGACCACCGAGCCGATAAGATACAAATACCTTCCCGCTGCGGCGTCAGTGGTGATACACCGCGTGGTGACCACGGCCAGACGACGACGTCACATCCGCCTGGGCGCACTGTGGTCACGCACCCAGCGCCGCCTGCGCCTCGCTCTGCCCTCCATCTGCTTCGGGGATGAGAAGGAGCGTAGAGTGGCGCCCTCCGACAGCTCTAGCGTGTATAACGGAGATTGTTATTATACCAACTCCTTCATGGTACGCCGTCACGGTGTAGGTGCGGCGATTTTCAGAGCTAAAGGCTTCGATGTGGTCACCGACAATATCATCGCGATGAAGGAACGACAGCACTAATTAGGGATAAATCTGAAAGCATGCGTGGCTGGCTCAAAGGACCATTATTTTTGTAATCACGTCACAATAGTCCCGCAATCACTAGCTCTGTCAATCGCCAGATTAACCTATTATATGCATTTAAAAGGATTGTTGCTCCGACACTTACACTGGTTTTGGACGTACACCGTGATGGTTTTCATTGTTAGACTGTTATTAAGGGCACAAAACTCATAGGCAATCTACAAGCACTGAAAATATAGTGACGTCATAAAATATAGGAACGTGCATCTTCATTTATATTTTAAATTACTGATGGAATTGAACGCGAAATGTTCTAAAATAATTAAAAACGTTTATTGCACGTTGAAGCGTTTGATATTCCGTCACATTTAATAACTACATTTTATTTTATTGGTTTCCATTTTCTTGAGCACACGTAACGTTCTTCTGTACGAAACATGTATATACGCACAGATTAGTATTAAGAATGTACAAACTCTCAGAAAATAATTAGCTTCTGTAATTATGAATTAATCAAACCCCATGCAAATTAATTTAACCCTCTCAGCGTGAGCATGGTCGTGCTGGCCCAATAACGGCAGAGCTTGTTGCCGATCATCACTTGCTTTGTTTGAAAGTGTACGATACTTTTGTTTAATTTTTAATTTTGTTTTTACTTTGAGTTTGCTCTCACATGACGAGAAGTTGAGGTTTCCAACAAAATTATTTTAACCAGAAAACAAGTTATCTCGTTAAATTATACAGTTTCGACAACTTATAGCTATACGTATTGTTTGCTAGTTTAGTTTATCTATCTAATTCTATGACAAGAAAAAGCAATTAAAAAATTTAAATAAGCTCTTGCAACATGTCTACTTTCTGAATGGGTGTGAATGGCCAATAGAAATTCTTACCAATATTACATGAAATTGAACGTAAAATTAAAATAAAATATGTTGTTTCCCTTTTTGTTGTTCATATGTTAATAATTTAACGAGATTTTGAACATTGGCGTATTTGCAATACAATTAATACGAGCAAGTAAAGTTGGAAATCTGAACATGTCGCGATGTGTGAATCGTTCTCGTCGGCTTGACCGCGTGTTGGAAAACCAGGAATACACGGAGGAGTTCCGGGACATCGCAAAGGGCAAGTCCAAGGAGAGCCTGCCCACCGGACCCATCACCTTGCTGAACCAGCGACCCGTCAGCGAAGACGTACGTCATACAACCGCTCGAGTGCCTCATTCGACCTTATTATATAGGGACGACGGTCTAATCTCCTTTGTCCCTTTAGTAAATTTATTTTTATGTTATAGATATAGTTTAATATATTTTAAATGGAATTTTGGTTCCTCATGGAACAACGACCATAACAGAAATCTGAATTTCTGTTACGGTCGATTTTACGTGATTTCAGGTCGAGTGAGGCATACGAACAGTTATCCTTTACCCTTATTAAAAAACGAAAATTTTGTGACTCAAAAATAACATTAAACAGTTAATTGGTTTTCCCAAACAAAATATAGGTTTCAAGGGCTAAGCACATTTTTTTTTAATGTAGGAAACATCAACTACCCTGCATTGGTTAAAAATAAATTCAAAGATTTCAAAACTGTAGAAATGAAGTGTGGTTAGGCCCACTCACGGGATTAAAATGAGAATGAAATACGAAAATGAGCGGCCGAATGGCTTCGTAGTGAATTGCATGTCGATTAATTTTCGTTCAAATAACCGGAGTGTGGGTCATTCTCATTTCGATCTATAGAACGCGCTTCTTATCTTTTATTTTTTACGCAATTCGATGTTGCATGATGGATGTTGCTTCTCGATATGCATATTGGCACGTTATATTAACATTCTAGATACTTATTATATATCTTTTACTATATTTGAGAATCCAAAAAGTTTATATATTGCAATTTAAATGTATAGTCTATGCTTTTGCATGTTTAAAATTTGTCTATGGCACAGGAGCTCCCGCCAATCACGAACAACAAGACGAGCAAAGGGGCCAACCACACGGAACCTGCTCCCGTTCAAGTCAACAACACGCCATCACAGAATAGCACCGCTAACAACACCATAGACAAGAAATCCATCAGTGCACCCATTGCTGTTACGTGAGTATTATTATTTTTACCTTAAAAATACAATTGAGCTAGACAAAACTTTTATATGCTTAATTTTGATCTCTCAATGTTAACTATAATATTATTGGAGAAAGCATAGCACATTGGACCTTATGACGTATGTGTTAAGAATAAAAATACATTGCGTCATTAATATGACCATAGCTAAATAATAAGTCCCCCCCTGTCCCTCCTAATTTTATTATACTATTAAGTTATCCTTATATCCTTTCTATTCCTCATCAATCTAGCATCGAACGTTTGGAGATATACACGTGCCCGTCCGCGTCGCATGCGCCGGTCTGTCTCGGCGTTCGTTCGGACAGGACGCAACTTTCTCGCTATACCATTTGCGAAGTTAAAAATTGCTTTGATTGGCAGTTAGTTATCCTACTGTGTTTAAAGTGTAGAATTTGAAATACATATTAGTACAATAACTCGGTTTTTAATTGTTCTCATTCAGTAGTATTTAATAAATTATATCGGAATATCACTCAATGTAGATTCGTAGTAAAAACAACAATAAATTATGTAAGGCTTTCACGGCCATAGTTCACCTTATCATTATTTTTCGGTCTGATCGGCTGACTTAATCGAGAAAAGGTTCTCGACGTTCCACTATATTAGCCCCTGATGATGCCGTCCGCTCGTGATGGTAAAACGTCGAGAACCCCATCTCGCTTACATCATTCCAACAACCTGAAATAATGTTAAGAAAAACATTAATACCTATGTCTTATTAATTATTATCACTTCACAGAAACGGCACGGCAACAGCGCCCAAGTCGAACAAGACATCGCCGGCAAAGGAGCCAAGCCGGCAAGAGAATCCCTTCGAAGAGGAAGAGTGGGACGAAGAGAGCGGTGGGCCGCTTACGGACACGGGCGAGCCGGGAGTGCCCGTGCGCGCGCTGTACGACTACACCGGAGCGGAGAGTGACGAGCTCAGCTTCCGACAAGGTAAAGTAGACGGAGAAAGCTATGGAGCTACATCTGTATATATTCTACAGATAAAGATGTTAAAAAATGGGCAATTGATATTGTCTCTTTCCTACTATTAAAACATACAAATATTGACAATCTGTTTGAGAAATTTTCACATGTTATTGCACATGATGGCATTATATAAATTTAAAATCTGTTTAGATCTACTCATTGGAGCTACCGTGTCCAAGCGTGTTGATAGCTGTGGATGCCGGTTCAAGTGTCCGCGTATCTTAAATTTTTATAGTTTTCATATATATTCAACTGTCTCCTATTCCCTAATATAACACAAAAATATAATATTCCAGGTGACCTATTTGAAAAACTAGAAGATGAAGATGAACAAGGCTGGTGCAAAGGGCGTAAGGATGGCCGAGTGGGGCTGTACCCTGCCAACTATGTTGAACCGGTGGGGCATTAAACACCCAACCAACGGACACACCGCGCACGCTATCGGCATACTATTGGACCCACGGCGTAGAAATAAGTCCAAGTCCCGTCTTTTATTAATGATGAGATATTAAATTACGATTAAAGATTTCTTTGTTACTGCATTTGGATACACTTTTACTAGAGGTTCGTTTGCTGACACAAAAACAAATGTTGTAACTATAGTTATGTCATTGGAGTTGTTTCTATTCTGTGGCCAACGATTGAAGACTTGTAACATTTGTAAAGAATATAAAAGGGTAATGTGACAGCACAGTAACATTACAATGTAAAAATACATAACTGACTCCTCTATACTTCGAGAAACACACTTCATATTGTTTAGAAAACTTGTTTTAACATTATCGTTTAGAGGAAATTGAATTATAGAAATCAGTTAAGTGTTACCGACGAATTATATTATCGAAGTTAAAACGATGTTTTATAGCAATTGTAAGAAACAGACATACAAGTTTTATAATGTATCTCATGTTTGAGTCCACTCTTAAGTGTTGTCAGTGTTTTTTCTGTAAAATATAATTTCGACAGCGCTCGAGACTGGCGTAGTATTTTGTAAAGTTTTCAAGTAGGTGTTTTAGAATGCAAGTTATTTATTGAAATCGCAAATGTTAAACGGCTCTAAAATCGACCTAGACTACGACTTAGCTTTAGCTGTGAGTTGCGTGGTGAAGTAGCGGTCTTATGAATTCGACGTCATTCTAGCATATTTGCTAATTCATATCGGGGTTTGGGGACGACGGTTCATGCTACATCCATTATACCTACTATTAAGAATAACTATGAACATGACGTCCCTGATCTGTTTTGGACGCTTTTAATATGCACCATGGCCATGATTTTTATCATTTTCACGATTTCAAGTTCGAAATGTCGAAGCGGGTGGGTATTTTTGGAGGATTTGTACAATACGGAAACCAAAAAGTAAAATTGTAGCGTGACACGTACTCGTGCGAGGGTTTTCAGTTCGGTGAGACCGATCGACTTAGCGAAGCCAAAAATGTACGCCCATACGGTGGAGAGCGGGCGAGCGTACAGCTCTGTACATAGACAGTTACACAATCGTCTTGCATAGAGTATTTATTTCCCGTTGTATATAAATGTATAATGGAGGGTAGTCGGACGCCTAGACGTAAAGTAATATATTGAGATGTTTACCTTTTCTTTTTCGTTTTTTACCTCGTTTTATGATTGTTGTAACGTGTACGTATCGTAATGTATTTAGCAACAAGTCACTGTTGAGGCTGCCTCTTATCTTTGACTCTTGACCCGCGGTAGTCCTAGTATTATTGTTTTAATTGTTATAGGTTCAGAGACCATTTGTGAAAATTGATTGTATTATATTATTGTCAGAGAGAGGGTGGTTGCGGACCACTTGTGTTAATATATTATTATTAATATTGGTAAAATAAATTGTTACAATATCACACTTTGGGCTTCATTTTACTATATGTCCAGAGGAAAATTCACTCGTAAACGCGGTATTAATGTGCCTTTTAGACCTCAAGCTTTATAAGTAATAAAATGCATGTGAGTTTTTGTGGTTGAAAAGAATGTTAAAATCGCGTCAGGTCTTTCCCTGATCGCCGACGGTTTGAAATTAGGTCGCCGGAGGGACGAAATAAAATTAAACATCGATTTATAATTTAATGGAGTTAAAGGCAGGTACTTGAACCGGCATCCACAGCGTTCCGTGCTGTTGCTCTAAAGTCTAACCAATTGACTTACCTACCAAAGACCAAACTTCTATTATCATTCACGTTAGGATTCATATATACGCGTGCCTATATAGATGTCATATTTGTTATGTTACCAAGAAATGTATAGAACTTTTAAACTTAATTGAAGTAATTCGTACAAAATTATTCCCGAAACAAAACGTCTAAAGTAGATAAATATCAAAAATTTCAAGTGTACAGGTGCCGATATACGTACAAAACAATTCATTAATAACAAGAGATGCGTTTTGAAACACTACTATTTCACCAGACAAGAACCTAAGAATCTAAGTAAGTAAAATCTAAGGTTTTTTCCTAAATATAAAACTTAATAGTATCTTCCTACGTCATCTAGAATCCATTTATCTCTTTCTGAGCTATTACACTCACTACGCTATTACATTATGGCACTCAAGTGGCACCAGGTAGCCTGGATTTCGGATTGAAATTTATCCGCCCTCGCAAATTATTGGACATCTTCATCATTTAAGATAAGTAGTGACTTTTAATACGTCTCCCTCAAATTTCTCATAAGTCATAGGTTTCTATATTGAAGAGAATGAATCTTGATGGTAGTTAGCAGCTGTTCTACTAAAGCAAGTTTACAATACCCGCCGAAATAATAACGCCAGAAATGTTAGACATTCACGTGGCACATTTGTATTTTTTTTATTTGACGTATTTGATGAACCCTAACCGGGCTTTAAACATTTTAATTATAACATCGTAAAGTATGGCCCCATCGCGATAAAATATAGTGGAATATACTAGTGTCGCAGAAGTTTGCAAGTGGTGTTCGTTTATGCGTATGACATCTTCGTTAGCCGCGGTACCTGAAATCATCGCTAACCAATCAGCGCCCGCGTAGCTCTGGCTTAAGTCTGGTAACTACCCACATTCTTTTCTTTCCAATCAATTGACATCTTGAAGGCGGATACACGAAGCTCCATCCCCCATTGGTGCAAGTAAATCGTCGGTCACGCCCCCCTCACTAATGACTTGGTGAAACATAATTTACTCTTTATTGTTCATATTCTCTGACTAGTATAAATCTCTCTGTCTGAGTCAAATATTGACTTGTGATGCAAGTACGCCCCTTAATTTTCTTCCATCTTACCGAAATAAAAGGGTAGAGTGGAAAACTTGCTTTTAAATTTAGAGAATTTAAGGAGTATAAAAAAACTTGAAATTTGTTTTTATGTCACTTGTTTAAACAATTAAATATTAAAACGTTCAACACTTATACTAATAAAACTAGGTCCTTAAAAAAAACTTAAAAAAACTCAGTATATACATACAGTGTGTTAAGTGTAGGAATAACAATAAAACGCAGGTTTTTAAAAATCTTATATTTCCATTGTACGGAGTGCACTTTACACATACATACACATGGCCACGGGGAAGCTTTACATCGACTTGAAAAAGAAATATTAACGAGTGATTTTTTATCTGTCTAGTCACATTAATAGCAAGCGATTAGGACAGAGGCTACATAGTAACGCTCTTGTCACAAACTTATGGAATGAAGTAGTGTAAAGGTTAAAGAAATAAAAAATAAGCATTATCTTTTGGAAAATCGCTGCTCGTTTGGCACAAACAATATCGAAAAATGGCATTTTGTTTAGCGTCGAAAAACCTTTCAACGTGTATTCCAAACTGACAAATTTGTGTTATTTTCTGACGTTTTTAGATAACTCTGTGCGTTCGTCATAAACGCTACAGCCGAGCAATAGAACTTTTTCATTATTTTGTGAACGTTAAAAGTGCTTTTTAAAGCCATCGTTCCACCTACCTCCTCGGTCGCAGCGGTAACGTCAAATAATATTTACAAAACGGTCAGTATATGATTGCATTATATGTATTGAAATTAAGTTTGCATTATCTGTTGCCTAATTGTAGTCCTGGTACTTGACGCCGCGCCGGTCCCACTGATATGTCAACATAAATATTTACAAAACTTACAGCACGATTAATGATTAACGATAATTGATGGGTTTAATGGAGATTCCCAAAATAATATCACTTCGACACCTAACATGCAACATTCAAGCTGGCTGTGCTAAATCTGGATTTTAAATATGTTATAATCAGATTAAGGTATTTAAGTGTAAAACCAATAGGATTAGTGTCTCATTCTGTTATCAATAATAGCTCAGGGGAACAAAAATGACTTGTTTTTTATCATATGACTACTAAAACTCCGTCAGAATTAGCACAGCCGGTCACTAGCCCCCTACACTATTCTTCCGAATCAAACTCGACGGGACTGGAATTACTCACATACAAATACACATTATACTGGTTATATTATGAAAAATATAAAAAATCAATCTGAATCGTTAAAACTAAAATAGTTAAAACGTAAATAGTCAATAATGGAACAGAAGTCTTTACACAACAATCAATTAGGATAAATATTTACAAATATTCAACGTAACAATAATATTTATATATTTGTCGATAACTATTCGAAACAGAAACTAAGTGAAGATTTTAACTTGTATTGAAATTAAGTTATCATTTCACTGGTTTTTGAAATTGACGTTTATTTTAAATAAAAAAACATTTTATAACGTACAATACCTATCTATAACAATAAACGAGGGCAAAGAATTTCTTTCTAAAAAATATTTCGTCAAACAAATACTCTTATAAAAATGCAGAGAAATGCCTAATGTTACAACAAGAATAAATTTTATGCGTGATAATATAAACCCTTGAAAAATATTTGTGACAAGTCTTGACAGTTGACACGGGATATGAAACGATCATTGTAGACACGCCTGCAACTTCTCGATCCACTCCTGCGCAGCATTTGCGTCGCTCGCGCAGAAGTTGTAAGTTCTTCTGCTCGTTCTTAGCTGAAAATATAAAAATTATTGAAGAAATAAGATTCCATGATTATATGAATGAGGCCATTCAATTTATTAGAATGCGAAGAAAACTTTTATTTATTTTATACGTACATCGAAAAAGGATCTATCGTCACACTTCTTAGGAGGACCCGGTGCTGGCGCAGCACCAGAAACCGCTATCACTTCCGCCAGGTCTGAAACACGACAAAAGTGTTACAAATCATTTTTGGTTTAATCTATAGCAATCATAAAATATCGAAAAGTAGATTAAGAACTAGAAGTAATACGCACGACATGCTGTTGGATTTTAAAGCGCATAGACGTATGTCTTAAGGTACCGACAGCGGTTCCCAAAACCGCTAGACGGTTTCTTTACCGGTTGAAATTGTGTTAAAAAAAACTCACCAATAAATCCTTTACAATGCGAATCTTCCATCGCGTCGTAATATCTAAGTTGATGTTTTATTGAATCTAGCACAAACCATCTGAAAACAAAAAGGAATCTTAGAAATCGGTTACTATGGCGACTCAATATTGATTTAAATACAACAATGATACACTTGTTAATATCGAGTTATATACCTTCAAATAAAACACTTTAACGGTTTAAAACCCGAAATATATTATTTATTTTAACTTCAACAGCCGTGTCTCTCTGTGACCACACGCTGTTTTGCAAACGCTGTGTTGCAAAGCATCTGAAACATCTGGCCATAGTGAAAATCATTTTCAAATAAGTTTAATATATTTCGCATTTTAAACCGATAAAGTGTTTTATTTAAATGTGTACTACTCGCGTAAACTACAGACAGTATCTCAAACCTTTGTTTCCATCCCTTGAGCAACGCCCCACGTTTGTAGAGGTGTCCTTCGTGAGTTCTGTTCTCTGCTACGTTCGACGAGAACTGTTCGTAGTACTGTTGGGAACTGGATTGAAGTGTTCCAACACCTGAAGAAAAATAATACTTATTAGCAAACACATAATGAAAGGAGTAATCCAAAAATAATCATTCAAAATATGTGAAGTATAATCATCGTATTCTTAAGAACCAGGAGTATAATAAAAAAGGCCAATAATTATAAACTGGGTCTGTTGTTAAATTATACACCATAAATAATACACCAAAAAATCTAACAAATCCTACTTTGAGAACTTAAAAAAAAATCATATGTTATTGCACAGGATAGCCCTTTAAAAAGTTAAAAATCAATTATAAACAACGTATTTATAGGACGTGTAGGACTCGGTAGCTTAATTGGTTAGAGCAACACCTACCTACTATCCTACTTTCTAATTATTAAATGCGTCATTTATCAATTACACTTGTCACCGCCGTTTCTTACTCTCCTCTCTTTGACGATATCAAGTCAGTATTCCTATAACAGAAGGACAACTTAACTCGATGTAAAGGTAATTTACTTACTGTTAGCAAGAGGCAGTTTGTTGTCCCTGTCCGGCTGTGGCGGAGCCTTATACTTGGTGCAGGGCAGGGCGAAGCCGTCGGCGCAACGCTCGTGGCACGCCGCGCCGCAGTCCACGCATCGGACTCCGGTCTTTTGAAAACGATTCGAATTGGTTAGCGTAAGGTAACAGCGACAGAATTTTCATAGTAATTATGAGAATAATCATTATTGATTAAAATTACTATAAATACTAAAGTTAAGATTTGACATTATTGTCAAATCTTAACTTTAGCATTTTTTACACTACAAATAAGTATATATTATTTAAATATATGTCATTATTTTATTTATGAATATTATAAATTAGTTGAATAATATATACCACTTACAGGCATTTTATAGACTTAACATCGATTTTGTTACACTAGTATTACCTCTAAAGGTCCCCAAAGCAAATCGGCACAGTGATCGCATCGCGCAGGCGCAGCGGCGGCGGCCGGCGCCCAGCGGTGCTGCGGTGCAGCTGGAGCAGCTGCCAGCCGCCCTCGCACCAGCACTTCAAGAGTACCCCGTCTATGCGCCGCCGCTGTTGCTCGACGAACCACTCCACTGCACATTGATGCGTTGCGCTGTAAAAATATAATAGGGGTTTATAACTATCTATCGATTTTTTTTAATAACGCGTCCAAGCATTTTTTAACGATTAGGATGTCCTTTAACAATCCGACAGGAATCATTATGAAGTCTCGAATATATTATTTTTTTCAAATTTCAAATCACCTGTAATTCCAGCGTGTTAGGTAACTCTAACTGTTCCCACCGCACTCTCCACTTCTGCGGCAGGTGACCCAGCTCTAGTTCTAGCTGTCTCAGTCGTTCCAGCAGGCCAGTGAATGCATCTGGCATACACCGCGGTATACTATCGTAGCTGCAAGAAATAAGGAATGTTATGCAGCCACTTTCCCCAGATCTAAACATTTTCCTTATACATTAAAATAAACCGATGAACAGGTATTTCTTCTAAGTTTGTAGACATTAAATGTGTATCGGATATAAACGGAATTAATATCTTTTTTTAAAAGTATAACAGGCGATAAATTAATTGTATAGGCACATAGCACGTAGCCATCACGGTTTCTGAATAAAAATTTTAAAACGTGCACTGTGTCTACAGGTACAAAAACAAGTTTATATCATACCCAGCAGTGACAAGTCTTCTAGGGCTCTTCGGTTCAGGGTCAGAGGGCCAAAGGTCGGGCTCGTAAGGCGCTCCATGAGAAAGCTCTTCGCTCACATAATACTCCCAAACTTCTAACCGAGAGACGGCACTGACTGGACGCAACACCTATTTTGTTTAATGAAGTTAATTAATACTCAAACTATAGACAGACCGTTTAATATACCTCAGTCAGTTTACAGTTTTGAAAATGAAACCCAAAAATAGATATTTTTTTATTCTTACTAAAATCTCAAGACAACAGTAAAAATCTTAGGTAATTACGACAATGTTTGTAAGAATATCGTTGACAAACAAATGTACAACGCTAAACTCACTGGATTATCAAGGTCTGGCGCATATAGCAGATTGTAGTATATAGGCGAGCGCTGATGCAGCCGCTCTATGTACTCAAACACGCCCATTCCACCAGCTCCGCCCCATCCTTCCTCTTCGCCGCTACCACCCTCTGCTCCCCCACTGCCTGTTTCTATCACCTTAAAGAAATCAAGGTTATTTTAAGACCATAATGAAATAACTATTTATCTAGAATACACGAGAGTTTCTTTTATGTACTTACTAATCGCCCAACATCTGGTCTTCTTTCATCGGGGGTAAGACCGAGCTCAGCGCGTTGCGCTTCATTGTCAAATAGAAAAGTTCGAAAACGACACGACACAGTGTGGTACGCCAGAAAGCGAAGGTAATAGTCGTTGAACTCAAATGCCAAGGGAAATTGTTTTTGTAACTGAAAGCAGAAAGTTAAATGAATAAACGTTTCTATATGCACTTAGATCTTTTTTTTTATACTAATTATTAAATCTCAAAATGTTAAACAAAATTCCTTTTGTCCATTGTCTATCCGCCTCAAAGGATCAAGGTACAGATTGTGTTTAGTGGTCCATTTTTACTAACCTGATGTACGGCATCTAGGAACATAAGAAAGGTGGGCGTGAATCCTTGCTGCGGCGTAGCTCCCAGGTTTAATCTTTGCTGAAATTTGTGTCCTAAAGCAAGCCATTCCTTTTCCACGAGTATCCGAAAGCCGTCTATCGTGCGATAGTATGGATCGAGACAAATTTGTGCTAGAGATGATATCTATAAAGAAAAAACATCCGCTACAGTTACAGCTATAGCTATGTTAATCATTTAATTTGGCAATGACCGAAATAAACTAAGGAAAAGCTGTCTAAAAATATATCTATAAGAATATTACCTGCGCACATGCATCCCAGCCATCTTCCAAGGATAGAAGAACAGAAGAACCCTGTACATCTAGTAAATCCAGCACACAACCTGATAGCTGCAGCAGGGTGCGGAGCTGCCAAAGCCAACCTGACTCTTCTATTAATCTGTGGAAAGACAAAACATAAAAGATAAGTCAAGTAATACTAATTAGAATTAAAGTATCTATCTTTGCTTTCAACACAAATAAAACATACTTATAAAAGTTAGGTTCAGGCGATGGCGCCGATGGCGCGGCAGCTCTTAACAACTTCTTGAAGGCGTGTTTAGTTGCACGATTGTCCGGGTACTCCGCGGGCACGGGTTCGACCCCCGCCGGCCAACCTGTGCCCGAACCCTTCTCTGTCACCACGTAAAGAGCTGCACGACGGACTCCACCGCTTGTTTCACCAGATGCTGGAAGAAACGTCAACCATAAAAACCGTTTACAACCTGGAGCTTTAACAAAAACATAATAGTATTTTTACAGACAATCATTAATATACATGTAGTAGAAATGTATTTAGCATATCATTGTCTTTCGGGCTGTTCGGCCGATGTGAGCGAGAAGAGGTTCTCGACGTTTCGCCATCACGTGTGGATGGCATCATAAGGAGATGTTGACTCCTCGATTGCTCGAAGAATTAGTTAATTAATTATATACTTATACATTGCTATCATTAGCATCGTAATCTTAATTTTTTTCAAAGATTGTAAATAATATTGACATTGGTATATTCGTTATTACCGTTTTCTATGTGTAACATACTTATAGTTATCTCTTACCAGAATCTACATCAGCTGTAGACAGCCTCTGTCGCGGCGCATACAGCTCCAAGTGCGACGCCTGTCTGCGATCCTTGAGAGACCCCCACCGCCCGAAATGTCTACCTCCTGTTGCACTATTGCCACCCTTGCCTCCGCTATTTCTACCGAGAACGCTACAAGTATAAATATCTCGTCAACATTCGTCCCTTATTTGTATAATGTGTATTATATATTTCGGAATATATGTATAAAAGGTATAAATAATTGTACAAGCGCGGAAAATTTATACAGATAAAAACATACGAAATTTAATAAATAAATTACTTGTCTGTAAATAAAATTGCTAAGTGTAACGGATGGTCCCATTATTTTTTAATATTATCTTCATATTTACCTCAGTTTTTTGGTTGTTGTTATAATATAAATCAAAGCTAATAAAACCACAAAGGCACTTATCTGGTACTAAAGACATATAAAAGTAGTTCTTATTCTTACCCTAACGTCCCGGCCGCTTTAGTGAGTAAAGGCGTGTGGTTGTGATGTTGTTCATCACAACACAACAGCAAGGAGTCCAGACTCAGGCTTGAGTCTTCGAGTTCACCGCGAGACGCCGGCGTCAGATTGACTAGAGTTGACAAAAATCTCTCCTACAGACAAATAAATCGTGACACAATAAATATATATATAATATTTTAAGTAATTTCGTATGTATCTTATATACTCTGAAATTCGTTTAAGAATTATTCGTCTACGTAAACACATTTTAGAAATTGCGAGTGCCTAGACAACCTGACTTTATACATTGAGAACGAGAAATGCATAAGTAGTTTTTTACAATTAAAAAGGCCGTGAACTGTAAGTAGATTTATAATATTAATAATCTTATTTAAAAATTGTTTTCTTAATTTTACCTGTTCTAAACTAGATGTGGTTTCAGTTCCTGGCTGCGCGGGCGCAGGCGTTTGATGACTGCTACCCTTTAGCATTCCCATAACTCCTTTATGATGAGACGCTGCTGATCTATAAAACATTAAATTGTCGTGACCTTATAAGACACAGATTTTGTATACAAATACGAAAGTAGAAATGTAAGTTACATTGCCGGTACTTTTTCTATTTAGACTAAGGTTGTATAGAAAAATGAAAAAATATTCACCTCGCTAAAAGCGCCCTCGTTCGCGGATGCCTCCATGTGAGTATTGGAAGACGGTTCTGCCGGTAACCACGCGCAGCACGACGCAGCGACTCATCGGAAATAGACTCGGGTACAGCCACTACAGCTGGGTAACTGCATTAACAAAATATACTTTTTTATCAAACTACTCATCCTATAGTAACATGTTTACGCAATTAGTTTGGAAAACATATTATTTAAATAAAACACTTTAACGGTTTAAAACGCGATATATTGGTTAAACATATTTGAAAATGATTTGTAATTTCGGCCCGACGTTTCCGATACTTTGCAGCAGCCGTGCTCACCGGGAAACTAAAGATGGAGGATGTCTCTGACGTCAAAGTGAAAACTTGCTACGCAAGCGCCATCTGTTCCGTTGGTATTTGGCGAAACTACCCGGGTCCTTACAGAATTGACTAACGGTGTCTTCGCGTTTGCCGGTATGCTGTTTATTGGGATCCAGAGTTTTTAATATGGGAGCCCAGGTGTTTGATTATTTGAGGCTGTCCTCCCTATTGAAATTTTGGTGTTTTGTTGTTTTCAATTGCTTCGCGTACCAATCTTGGAAAAAATCGACTCTCCTTTGCGAAGATTTTTGGGTGATCAAAGCGAATGTAATGATTGGGCCCTTCCGATGAGTGTTGGCATACCGCAGAGCGAACCGTTATATTTTTTCAACATATAACAAAATCATTAATTTGAATATAACAATTGTTGTTACGTTATGTTGCAAATACTATTACACATAAACACAAACCTTCTACATAAAGTATATACAGCATTTGCGTGCGCCAGTCTAAACGGTGCGGAGGCTAGTCCGAGTCTCGCCCAATCTCGCGCGTACGCACGCTCGCGAACCCGTTCCAAAGTACGCGCCGCTGGCGCTTCAGCACTCTCACTGCTTCCTATGTCTAGATCCTCCACTAGAGACACGTTTATTATTATATACCGAATAATCTCTAAAACGTGTATATTTCAATGATTAAGTTATAATCAAATGTAACCTACGAGATAACGTATCCGCAGACAAGGAGGACATAAGCGGCGGAGAAGTGAGAGAGCGCGCGTCTGGGGAAGGCAGTACGTATTTTTGTCGCTTCGACTGTTTCGGTTTGAGCCCCGCTCGACGCGCCGTTTTCAGAAGCGTCTTTTTCGCAAAGCCTCTGAAATAGAAAACATCGTTAACGTCTCGTTTATGGAAATGTTTTTTTCCAATAACAAATAATGAAAAGCCGTGTTGTATTGCTATTTTTCTATCATAAATTTACCAGTAAGTCTACAGTTTCAGCGCATAATTATAGCAACAATATCTTACTTGAGAGTGTGATGTTTAGGCTGCGCAAGCGCAGGTGGAGGCGCGGCTCTTGGTGCTAGAGCAAAATGCAACTGAGGATATTGGGGGTGCCGTAGCCGCGTCACTTGTTTCCGGAATGCTTCGGCTTGTTCGCTGCTGACTTCTTCATCTAAAGCCACCTTTATACAAAAAATATTATTGAGAAGTTCATTATTATGTTAACTTATTTAGAAGTTACAAATTAAAGTAACCTTAATAACCTCGGAGCTTTATGATACTAAGAGAAATAATATTAAATTTTACAATTATACGCACTTTTATGAGTTGTGACGTAGCTGACCTAAGCTGCAGTCCATCGTGTAACGCGTGCTCAAGGTGTGCTTGTGTGCGGATGCCTTTTTCACGTGTTAACGCACTTACAGGGAATGCGCGTACGACGCTTTGCTCGCAAGCTTAAAAAAATAGGAATTTTATTAAAAACTTTTGAAATTCAGAACTGCTTGTTTTCGAGGGGCTCAGGAGGACTTGTAAACATCTATTGAGAGGTAAGTAGGATTTGAATATTGTTTTTTGAATACTATATGATTCTGCCATTTGCTTTATAAAATTTTCGTGCATATATTATATAACAAGTCCTGGATATCCTACCGTATGGATCGACAGGAGTTCCCTTAAAAATAATCCTGTAATTAGTGAGGAAAAGAGCTCCTTCTGCAGGCAGCAACGGTGCTTCTCTGCCATCAGCGACGAGTAAAGCGCGCAACGCTGGTGCTGCCACGGCTTCGCCGCTCACCAGTGCTGGGGATACTATACGCGGCTGCAATGCAATTAAAACTACATCTTTCACACTTGTCTTACAAACAAATACAGGATCTAAACTACTGGCCTCTTCAACAAAAATAAAATCAACATCAATTGAATTAATTTCAACTTCCTGCTTTTATTACTTGTTCATATTGGGTAAATATTACTAACAGGTAACTATAATTTTTGGCCAGAACATCGACTTGGGGGGCGGATATAAAATAGGTTGATAGGCTATTGGAAGTCTATTTGGGACATGCTCTGAAACTAAAAACATATTTGTAAACAAAATGATAAAAAAATAGGTTTTATAATTAACTATAACTACGTTACATACTGTAACGAGTTTTTAGTGAAAATACTAGATAGATATCACCTATTGAAAAGATTTTATACAAACTATACTCATCAGACAGTTAGCACCTACCTTGTGTACGGGAGGTAGACGACGACTCTCACGCGCCACAGCGTCTAATGTCTCAAGATGCATATGGACAACTCCAGGTATCATTTGATGCAAGCATCTGATGTGATCTGCCGTAACACCGCCTTCTGTGCACACCTAGGGATGGATAGAAAACCAAATAGTAATGTTACTATAGGCATCAGGCTCGAAGTACCCTAATTAAAACCAAATCATTCCATAATTCATATGCATTCCAATTTGAATTAATAATTAAATATAGTTTCAAAAATTAACAAAAACACAAAAAATGTTATCGCTGATTTGAATTGATTTTATTTGTTTAAACTTCTTCTCTCATAGGTTTTTTTTACCTTGTCGACGAATCTCGAGACCATTTTGATCACATTATTGCCAGCTTCTCCAGGGTCTGCCTCTTCAAATCCAGACTCAGCGTCTGCACTATCGGACTCTGCGACACTGCAGTAACAAATGTTATTTAAGACTAAGTACGTCATCGCTTTTAGCGTCATCCTAAGGTACTTTTAACAGAAGATTGATACTACGCCATAATAACTAGATAATGAAGGTGGATTTAACCACAAAACAGCGATATTTACCTATTGCTTATACTATTCGTCCCTCGGTCATCGTCCGGGCGCACATCAGCACGTCGACCAGCACCCTCTAGCGGCAATAGCAGGTACACCATACGATTAGCGTAGTGTATAGCCTGGCTATATAATGTGGATTCTTCAGACGCTATCAACTCCGTTTGTTTTTCTGTAATGTGCGCATACTACACAGATATTCTATCTATGCTTATATAAGTAAATTAAGAAATAATGATGTAATTACTACTCTTACCACCAGACTACTTAACAGGGAAGAAACAAGGCAATACTATTTTGTGTCTTTGTCCTTTCTAAGGGTTTGTCATAATTACTTTTGCCTTTTAAAGCAAGCCACACTTACTTGATTTAAAAGCACGTTTGTATGATAGACAACGAAGGATAATTAACTAACTTAACTAGATGCGCTTGGCTTTGGACCCAAAAATATGTTGACATTCTTTAGAATAGTTAGGTAACCTTCTTCTAAGATTGCAATACATTTATTTCTATATTAAGGGTTACACATAAAAGGCTTACCGGAAGCCAAGGTCGGCCACACTCGCATTTGTTCTGCAGCTATTTCGAGAGCGCTTGGCTCTTGAGCCTTCAGCAGCGATATGTATTCCTCATCTTCTCTGAAACAATATGACTATCTCTTTCCTTTCTCATATGGATACCAAATCATTCATAAACCAAACATGCTGTATTTAAGTCAGTCAATGACAGGTTGAACTTATATTGTATAATGAATATTAGGTAGTAAATCTATTTATACCTAGGACTAGGCACTCTCTGTTGATGCGTGGGGCTAGGTAGATATAAGGCTTTGATGTCTTTCTGTACGTCTTGATAGAAGGCAGCCTCCCAGAACTGTTGACTTGTCCATACTGCATGCTCCTGCGTGGAAATTTAAAAAACTTTATGAAAAAATATTTCAAACTGCGGGTAGTTGTGTTGTATATACCCACCTGTATACACATGTACGCGTATTGTATAACGCCAGTGCATAGTTTTCTGCAATACGCTGTAGCTAGAGGTAGTATCGCAGCTGCAATTGAATGCTCGTCCAGTGCTGATGCTGATTGTAGGGCACAATTTAATAATCTGTGAATAAAATACAAGCCATGAAAAAACATACATAATAAGCGAAAGAGTTCAAAAATCATTACCATTTTTCGTTTGGAATTACAGAGAAATAATCGAATACGGCTACTGCCATAGGTTGATTTAATAAATACTTGATTGATTTTTTTAACGATGATGAAGTCATGACTAGATTCTTCTAACTTGAGCAATTAAAAATATGTTTTTCATGGTGATTTCAAGGTTACGCTAACAATGTAAAAATGGGACACAATAGATCGCGTTTATCACGAAAGCACCAGATAACATCTAACAATGTTCATCCATATAATTTGTATTTAAAGCGAGTAGCGATCTGCGTGTGCGCATTTAAGTTCTTCAAAATGTGGAAGTTTTTTGGTCTAATCGGGACTTCAGTATTTCTTTACACTTTAAGCTGTACAGATGCTAACATGGATGGGGTAAGTATACATTACGTAGTATTTAAAATACATATATACAAATCTTAATGATCTAAAGTTTTTGATATGGAATTTGGACTATACAAGATTTAGAAAAATATACAAAAAGAAAGATACAATAATGACTAATTGTTCCTAATATATTATATTACTATACTCTCTATAGTTGTTGGGTGTCGTCTGTACTTTTAACTGGCAAAAATATTTTTTTAACTTACAAATAATTGTAGAAACCTTACTCGAATCACTTCTAATTGATGTTTGAACAGAACAAAAGACCATACTTGATATATGCGGCAGATATGTATCTCACTATGTGTATATTGTGTATTTCATAAAATGCATTTTTAATAAACTATAGTCACGTTTCTCTTTAGGGCCCAGGCCTATGGTTCGTGCATGCGGTGGACGATTGCCAGAACGAATTACCAACCGCTATTGCGAACATCACAGTGAAAAAACATAAGCTAAACCGTACGCACGACGTTTACGACGCATTTATAGACGTAAACGACGCTGTAGGCATAGAGGGCGATGGGGTTTGTACAATATGTTTAATGACGAAAATAATGAGAATTCACCATCTTAAAATCAATAAAACATAATTACAAAGTTACTATTTGACTAGAATCTTATGCCGAAACAAATTTCTTGATGGCCTATTGAAATATGCAATATGCTTTGTAATCGAAAAAGCAGTTAATTTACATTTTAACTGTCTGTTAAAGAAGATATATAAATATGGAAATTATATATCATGTAAAAAATGTTTCATGTAATTAAAGGTTTAGAAATTAAATAAAAAGATTAGAATCTATGACAAATAATTTTATCTGTAGTAAATCCTGCAGTTCGTTGAAAAATAATCCATTTATACTCATAGGTGCTCATAGATATTTGTAAACACACGGACGGCGGTTGTAAGCAGGTACAAGTGCTTACTGATAACGATTTAGCCAAATTTGCGGAAAAATATGCGGAACAGAACATGATAGCTGCTTTCACAATGGCCGGGATAGATCCACCGAGGTTCCCTGTTCAACCAGTAAGTGTCAAGTAATCACTTTCACACCAAAAATTTACGACGGTTTAAAGTCCGCATCAAATATTTTTCAAATTTACTGACTATATGAATAACCCTTCAAAATAATCAATTGCATTTTCGTAACACAATATCTTAGGGCGGAACCGTCTATAGTAGGGCAAGTCTCGTACATGCCAAAGTTTCTTTAGTTTACTAATATTATAATGTTTGTAGGGTTCATATGCAGTAGAGAACTTTTACTTCGATCACTGTGAGATGCCCGAGGAATCTATATACGGCGAGTTCACGGCTGATGCGTTCATTATGCGCGACTCCGTCAAAGTAGCCTGCTTCAGGGCTCACACGGAGTTTAGAGAAGAGGAGGAAGACGTTTGTGGCAGAGAGTGAAGTTTGACAATAAAAAAACTGTACTATTTAAATACAGACCATATATCTACTAGCTACAATACTAATAAAAATACTTTACAGACAATACAAAAAATAAACACGCAATGAATCGGCTCGAAGGACTTTGTTTATATTTTCCTGTGTATGACATTTAATCGTTTGACTTCATATTTTTAAGGAAATAACTAACACATAAAACTTACTTAACAATGAGATCAAATTGGTGATGGTGCAGTATATGTTTGTTGGTCGGCAATCTTGAAGCGAGATCATTGACTAATGCGGTGCGAGCATTTGGCGCCCGGAGTGCACGCAAAACAGCCGGGAAGGACTTCCTGGCATCTGCGTATCTACATTCGAAAATCGCAGCTATACACGATCTTAAGACCTGAAAAATGAATGTAGGGCATTAACAATATATTATATCCTTTAGAAATACTGTGCGTATACATTTTTATATAAATAATAGGAACAATACTAAAGTAGTAAATAGATAACTACTTCGAGCCGCCTCGCAGAATTGGTGAGTAAGAGCTGCGTATGTTCAACAGCACCGGTGGGTGGGGCTGCTGGTGGGATTATACGTGGTGCTGGAAGCCTAATTGCTTGTAACCTGCAAGTTAAAGATTACCTCATATATATTTGCCTTATTTACAATTTCTTTAATACTAATATTATATTAATTTTCGTTTAACTTTTATTTCCTGTTCTACAAATACTTAATAGATAGAAGATTTGAAAACTGTCTTCTTGTTAGTAGAATAAATCATTTAAAATCTTCTTCTTACTTAATTAAAAAAAAACATACTTCTCAATATTGTTAGCGGCCGCCCGTTCGTCAATCACCTGTTGCACTCGCGCGGCGCAAAGCATCGGCAACGGAGGCTGGTGTATACGTGATTCAGCGCCCTCTGGTGGACGAAGTATTCTTTGTTGGAACACCTAAAATTTTAAACATAAAAAAAAATAAGTCCAAGAGTTGGATGCCCCAAGGGCATAATTAAATGTTTCTTTCTAAGGTAAAAAAAGTAATAATATATCTTAGTATATATTTATTATATTGTTCAAAGGGATATAATTTCTTATAAAAATGTCTTTTATTAATGGTGGAATTGAAACAAATACTAATAATGACAAGATATATTATCAATTATGAACTTACTTGAGGATTTGGATTTTCATTGTAATGCAGTTGCATAGCCAATTCTTGTATGTGCTGCAATTCCAAATCTGGATTTATAGACTCTAATCGCAGTTGTTCTGGAAGATTCCTGAAATATAACAAAAATCCTGTATAATACTTTACGATCATTTGGGAAAAAGTGCAGCCGGTATGGACTGGAGTTTAATAAAAATAGTTTTGATAAGATTATTTTATTTAATCACTGCTTCTTATGAGAAATATATTGATAAGAGAAAGAGAATATATATTGGCCATTTTATTAGTGACGAATCTTTATAACACTGTGCTTATATGAGAGTATAAAAGAATGGTAAAGTAAAGGTAGGTTTAAAATATAGTAAGTTAACACTAACAGCACAAGATCGTCCCATATATCGGTGGGTCTCCAGGGCGGGCCGCGTTCAGCTACCAATCCATTGAAGAACATGGAATCCAGTAATCGAACGGCGAACGGGCACTGCGAGAGACCACGAGCCCCGAGGAAGCCCGCCTTGTGGAATGTTAGCACGGGGGACGGATGTATGCGGATTATAGTAAGGCAATGTCTGAAATAGAATAAGATAGTATAAATAAACTTAATATACTGAATGAATTAACCGAGGATTTTAGTAGTTCGCGACTGCAACATAATTAAAAAAGATTATATATTTAAATAAAACCCTATAGCGGTTTAAAACGCGAAATATATTAGTTAATCTTATGAAGATTATTTTAATTACGGCCTAACGTTTCTAGTAACTTGAATTAATATATTTGGCGTTTTGACGAATAAGTTTAACTAATATAATTCGCGGTTTTAAGTCATTATAGTGTTTTGTTTAAATGTGTACTACTCGTGTAATCTACAGACAGTATACAATTATATACTTTTAAAACACAGAAAGTAGACAGTATAATAATCATAAAGGACAAGATTATTTATTTTTAAAATAAATGAAAAATTGCGAAGTAACTCTGTCTGTACCTATAACCCTGTAACAGTTTAGCCAATGTCCTCATAAACACTGCTCTGATCTCCTTATCGAGCATGTGTGGCTGCGAAGCGGCTGGGGCTGGTGGGGCGAAGGCCGAGTCGGCAGAACGCAGCTCACGTTGAAGTACTAACGCGAGTGAATCCTGCAACGACGATAGGAGCTTCCCCTCCGGCCTGGGGATGTTTACGCTCGGTGGGATGTGTAGGGAACCAGTATCGAGATCTGCTATTATTACATCGAGCTGGAAGGTACAATGTTGGTAGTTAGGTTTTTTAAGATAGTTAAAGTGTCTTATTTAAATGTGTACTACTCGCGTAAACTACAGACAGTAGAAAATAATGAAATTGTTGTTATTACAGTTTTCTATATCATATACTAAAATACATATATGTACTCCAATTCAAAATCCTTACCAATTCAGAAACCTCCTCCTTCAAGCTAGAATGAACACCAATAAGAAACGGAGTTGGCGTCGCCAGAACTTCGGCTAGGCCAGCTGGAAGTAGCGGGATGTATACGTGTGCGTATCTGAAGGGAAACATGAGCGCCGCTAACGCTCGACAAACGGCCGATAAACGCGCGGCAGCAAGCGAAACCAATAGCACTTTGTGCTCACTCATAACTGCACACCAGAGTGTCACCGAGTTGTGTATACCTGGAATTAGATATAAAGAAAATACTGTCTGTAGTTAACGCGAGTAGTAAACATTTAAATAAAACACTTTAACCGCTTAAAACGCGATATAAATTACTTAAACTTGTTTGAAAATTAATTTGGCAGCCGTGGTCACGTGGAGACACGGCTCCCGACGTTTCGGCTGCCGCAAAGCATCCGAAACGCAGGGCCGTAGTTAAAATAATCTTTAAACAAGTTTAACAAATATATATAGCGCATTTAAAATCGCTTTACTACTTTTCTAAATGATACTAAATGTTTTAGGAAGTTCTAGAATGTTCTCTATATACTCATTTATTTGAAATTGAATTTTAATATAATTGTAATTATTTCTATAGCAATATAACGGATGAGCAATAGCACTAACATTAATACATACAATGACACCGACGAGACATGCTTATTTTAATCATAAGTATCTATGCAACCAAAATTAATCATAATGTAACGCCCAGTACTCCTGCACATAACTACAACACTCGTGGATCGTCGCGTATTAGAGTGACGCACACATAAGCGCCTTCAACTAGTATATAAGCACCGTTCGCCGATTGCTGAAGGCATTAGCTCGCTAGGTGTCTTCGAGTACGATAGCCTCCGGCAGTCTGCTCAAAGATATTAAAGTAAAGGCTTTGCTTGACCGATGCCACGCGTCGTCAAGTTCAAGTATTAGCTAGGTGAATAAAGGGCTGCGATGCCACGCGTCCACCCGCCGATTCAAAGTAGGATCCTAATATAACGATAATACTTTGTAAACATATAATATCTGTTAATAAATATATTAACACAAGGAGTGAGTTATTATTCTCAGAAAAACCTCCTACATTGGCGCCCAACGCAAAATATATTTAGTCTCTGAACTTTACAAACCTGTAACTACCCTCATCAATATGAGTGAAAAAGCAAATATTGTTATGAGTGACGAACAACTCATTCAATTAATTGAAGCGCTAGGACGAACATCGCAAGTTAATACTGAAGAAAGTTTTGAACGTTTAGCACAATCATTTGCATCTTTATCTACCGCAGACAATATGCAGCGAGGAAGTTTTGTAAAATGTACGGCGAGATTTAACGGCGTTCGTCAGTACGAACAAGTTGAAGAATTCATCAATACAATTTCGATTTTCAAAAAAATCGAAAATATCTCTGACACTGATGCATTAGACGGTCTGGGACTGCTTCTAATGGGACAAGCTTCGATATGGTGGCAAGGTGTGAAAACTGAAGCGGACACATGGGAAACTGCATTAAAATTAATACGGCAAACCTACGCTCCAAAAAAACAACCACATGAAATTTATACCGAAATATTTGCATCCCGACAAGGCGCTAAAGAATCCATAGACTCATTTCTGTGCTCTAAAAGAGCCCTTTTTGCTCAACTGCCTGATAAGCGGCATAACGAAGAGGAACAGTTGGATTTAGTGTTTGGGCTACTTAATACAAAATTGAAGCGAAATATACAACGGTCGGATGTAACAACATTTAGCGAACTTTTATCTAAAGGTCGCCATTTTGAAATTTTTGACAAAGAAGAGGACTTTAGGAAAATAATTCCAAAAAAGGTGTTCTTTTTTGCTCAAAACGGGGACACACGCAAGATGAATGTCGGAAAATGTTGGCCGAAAAAAAAGACAGCAGCGAGGATTACAAAATAAAATGTTATGGATGTGGTGCGCCTGGAGTGTACAGAAGCAAATGTCCAATATGCAAAGGACAAGAAACACCTCCAAAATCAGTACAATTTTACTCCATGATTAATACACCTATTGAAAATGGCGTTAAGATTCCGATGATTGACATAAAAATAAACAATTCAAATGGATATGCATATTTAGATTCTGCAGCAAGAACTAGCATAGCTGGAACAACGCTGTATAGAATGTTGCTCGACACCGGTTATTCTTTCACAAATAAAGAAGCAGTTATCCATTTGGCCGACGGAAGTAAGAAGGAAATATTGTTAAAAACCATCACAGTTGATGTCATTATTGGTAATCGCTGTTTACCTTTAACACTATCTGCGATGCCCGAAGCAACAAACGCCCGAACTCTTCTCGGTATAGATTTTTTGGAAACTGCTGGAATAGTCTTAAATTTACCTCAAAAATCATGGTATTTCATCGATGAACCAGAAGTAATTTTTTCTTTTCTGCAAATAAAAATGAATCCCTTGATATTAGAAACTTCATCTTGCATTAAAAAAAATTGATTTCTCAGAAGGGAAAAACAAAGAAAGTCTATCTGTTTTCTTAAACTGGTGTAACAATACTAAGATGCTGTCTCCAATACCAGCTCCACCACCAATAGTTCGACCAAGAGAACCAAGGGCAGATAACGAAGATGTTTTAAAACACAAAGATCCTCGAGTTAAATATATAAAAATAAATCCTGTTAAACTGTATTCTGTTGATGTTTCCTTTCAAGATTACTCTAATATTACACTTAGAAATGATGAGGCTGCTGTATTAGGTTGCCAAGCACAGACACAATTAAATAATCTTCTTATAGAATATCAGGGTATCTTTAATAAAACAGGCCCTGCAACTACACACATCGAACATAAAATTGATACTGGTGCTAATTATCCGTTATCAGTCAAACCTTATAGATTGTCTCCACTCCGTCAACAACAGCTAAAAATTAAAATAGATGAAATGTTGGAAAATGATATTATTGAAGAATGTGACTCACCTTGGGCAGCACCAGTAATTCTAGTCCCTAAAGGTGATAATGATGTAAGAATATGTATAGACTACCGCCGCCTAAACAAAATAACTAAGCCTGATAGATACCCGTTACCTAGAATGGATGATTTATTACATCAAGCAAAAGCAATGCCTTTTATGTCTACTATTGATTTACAATCAGGCTACTGGCAAATACCTGTCCATTGTAATGACCAAGACAAAACAGCTTTTGTATCTCCATTTGGTACTTATAAATTTAAAAGAATGCCTTTTGGCTTATGTAACGCTCCAGCAACATTTCAAAGGCTCATGGATAGATTTGTGCGTAGTTTAAAAACGCAACACATTTTGGCATATTTAGATGACCTTCATTTGAGATCAATGACTTTTACGGAACACCTGGAAAGTCTTCGAGAAATTTTTGACAAACTCAAGGAATACAATTTACGAGCCAACAGAAATAAATGTAAATTTGGATGTTCTGAAATAAAATATTTGGGTCATCTTATTATCCCTGAAGGAATTAAAGCTGATCCGGAAAAGGTATCTGCTATCCAAAATCTGCCACCACCTAAAAATTTAAAACAATTAATATCGTTTCTACAAACAACTTCATGGTACAGAAGATTTATAAAGGATTTTGCATCAATAGCCCAACCTCTTACCATGCTAACAAAAAAAAAATCATCATGGCAGTGGTCTACAGAGCAACAAAATGCATATGACCTTCTTAAAAACGCATTAATCACTTCACCAGTTTTGCGGCAAGCAATAAATGATGAACCATTTGTTTTAAAAACAGATGCAAGCTATTACGCTATTGGGGCAGCTTTATTGCAGGGGGAGGGGCCCAATGAACATGTAGTGGAATATGCTAGTAGACTATTAACTCCACCTGAAAAGAATTACACAGTCACTGAAAAAGAAGCCTTAGCTATTGTTTGGGCTGTAGCCAAATTTAGAGGTTATATAGAAGGATCGAAATTTATAACAATAACAGATCATCAACCATTGAAGTGGCTTATGGCTCTTAAAACACCAACAGGCCGCTTAGCCAGATGGGCGTTGCAACTACAACCTTATGAATTTGAAATACAATATTCTAAAGGACGAACTAATTTTTTGGCAGATTTGCTTTCCCGCCCGCAATGTGATAATTATGATGACAGTAGTGAATGCTCTCTTCGGTCGGTAGAGATTGAATTACCCAGACGAAGTGAAATATCTATAAGAGAATCACAATTAAAAGACGAAATATTAGCAAAAATTATTAATGTACTTGAAAAAGATGCTGATAATGAAGATTACATTGAATGGAATAAAAAAGGGTACTTAATTCATAAAGGTGTACTATATCGTTATATACCTGATCAAGATGACGATAATGCAAAACTATTAGTTCCCAAACAAGAAATAAATGCTATTTTAAAAGCATATCATGATTCACCAGTATCTGGACACGTAGGTGTAGATAAAACTATTGCTCGAATCACTAACCATTTTTGGTGGTCTGGTATTAGAAAAGACGTCATAAAGCACATTAAGTCATGCATTGATTGTCAACGCTATAAACCATCTAACTTAAAACCAGCAGGACTATTTCAATCTACAGCCAATAGTCAAAGATTTGAAACGCTTTCTATTGATCTCTTTGGACCGTTACCAAAGTCCTTGAATGAAGAAAAATGGGTTTTTATAATTGAAGACGTCGCAACTAAATGGATAGAGCTATTTGCTATGAGAGAAGCGACATCTGAAGCGTGCGCTCATATTTTAATAAATGAAATAATTTTAAGATACGGCATTCCTAGAAAGCTTATAAGTGATAATGGTACACAATTTATCTCAGCAGTTATCCAAAAACTTACCTTTTGTATGGGTATAGATCATATATTGACACCCGTATATCACCCACAACCAAATATTGTCGAAAGGCGAAATAGAGATTTGAAAACGCAGATGGCTATATTAGTGAACAATCAGCATCGGAATTGGCCAACGACGTTACCAGCTATAAAATTTGCACTTAATACAGCTGTATGTCAAAGTACAGGATTTACCCCCGCATATTTAGTGTTTGGCCGAGAACTACGAACACCATATGATCTTGCACATGACCTTAGTACGATTGTTCAATCTGAAAACTTTGTAACAGAAATTACACCCACACTTAAAAAGTTAGGAAGAGATTTAAAAATTGCGAAAGAAAATATAGAAAAAATGCAAGAACTTAATCGAGATAGAGTCAATACAACACGTAGACCGGATCCTGGGTATAATCCTGGAGATTTAGTTCTTATTGAAACCCATCCGATTAGCAATCAAAATAAATCTTTTACATCAAAGTTAGCACCTCGACGAGATGGCCCTTATATTGTCATCAGGAAAAAAGGGTCTTCACTTTACGAAGTTGCTAATGTAAAGGAACCAGAAGTTTCAATTGGAAAATTTCATACATCAGCCCTAGTTAAATACGAGCACCGGGAAGCTGAAGATGTACCTGAACTTATTTTACCTATTCGAAAAAGAGGAAGACCGAAGAAAACGTCTTTTGTAAATGATGCTGGTGCTCTTATCGGGACGAATACCAAAGCACCAGAGGGGGAGGATGTAACGCCCAGTACTCCTGCACATAACTACAACACTCGTGGATCGTCGCGTATTAGAGTGACGCACACATAAGCGCCTTCAACTAGTATATAAGCACCGTTCGCCGATTGCTGAAGGCATTAGCTCGCTAGGTGTCTTCGAGTACGATAGCCTCCGGCAGTCTGCTCAAAGATATTAAAGTAAAGGCTTTGCTTGACCGATGCCACGCGTCGTCAAGTTCAAGTATTAGCTAGGTGAATAAAGGGCTGCGATGCCACGCGTCCACCCGCCGATTCAAAGTAGGATCCTAATATAACGATAATACTTTGTAAACATATAATATCTGTTAATAAATATATTAACACAAGGAGTGAGTTATTATTCTCAGAAAAACCTCCTACAATAATATATTTTCTTTTTAACCTATTATTAGGTCATCATGTTAAATCGACGATATTTATAACCCTTTGTTTTAGGTTTAATAGAATATACCTAAAAGCCTAAGTAACATGTGCACGGAAGTGTGTGTGACGGGCATGGGGGGTGCGGCAGGCGGCTGCAACGCCTGGCGGTCTCCAGCGCCGATGCTGAAGCGAACCTGCGGCCCCCCGGCGGGTGGCACAAGTACGCATCCGACCAGGTTTCCCACCAACGTCTCCAACGGAACACCGAGGTTCTCCACCCACACTGTGTAGATTATGCCCAGGCAGTTCTGGAAACAGTATAACATATTTACAATAAAAGGATAACGAGCTTTTATACGATATCGACTGATTTTGATAGTAACAACAATTTGACACTTTTGTCGCATAAATATAAAGCCAAGTTGTAATAAATGTTATTTGATAAACCATAGACTTTTAGATTAATTTAAAAAATGCAGTGCTCACCCGAAACGTGTCTATATAGTCCTGCCTGGAGACGATCACAAGACACTTGGGCGCATACATGATGCTGTGGTGGGTGATGTTCGCCACCGTGCGCGACGATTCTATAGACTCTTCGTCCTGGAAATATACAATACATTTTTAGGCCCATACTTTCTTTATTCATATAAAAAAGAGGATTTAAAATATGAATATGTAAGGTCTCTATATTTTTCTAGCTTTCTTTTATGTAAGATAATTTTAAAAATAGAGCGCTTCGTTGAAAGATCGAACGATCGAATCTAAATAAAACTTTAACGGCTTAAAACGCGATATATATTAGTAAAACTAATTTGATAGTTATTTTTAACTATCAAATTAGTCTTAAGTTTAACTAATATAAGTTTTATTTAAATATGTACTACTCGCGGAAACTACGGACAGTATTTCATATTTGCATCCCTTATCGTACAGAAAAACATTGCGTATTAAAAGATAATGACTAACGCGTGAGATAAAAAATCTGAAGATGTTAACGTAGGACGCGTAGGAATACGTTTTCTATTACGACGCACATCCAGGGACCTCAGGGATTAAGGTCATAAAACCTCCTTTTGCTAGGCCGAATGGACCGTTTTTCAAGACGTACTCTGTGGGGGTATTCAGTATGGCATAATTTTACCCTTGCGAGAGCGACGCCGGAATTCATTACCAGCCCGGGGTTAAGAGAATGCGAGGCTGAATATTTCATAGTTTTAAACGTGGATACGTGCTGCAGCTACGTAACCTAGCTTCGCGTTCATACTCAACTTTACATTGTATAAATAAAATAAATGTATCGTGAAACCCATTTTCACTTAACTTGGGGCGTAAAATACATTGAACATAACGTTTGAAAACTATGCTCGGACTCGGTAGCTCAATTCGTTTGAGCAAGAGCACGCAACGCTGACGATGCGTAAGCCCTGCCCGAGTCATAATTTTTTTAAATTATTTTCGATTTTTAATTCACATTGAACAAACCTTTAAAAATATAGAAATACAAATTCTTTATTTACCAACAATGAGTACATTTTCTTATACGGTGTGCTAGCTCCCACACTGGGATATGAAAGTTAGGAAGATATTTCATACAGGAATTTTGTCAAAAAGAAACAAAATACCGTTTTCTGAATATACTAGATAGACAAATTTTAGTAAAACATATATAAAAAAAAAGTATCCGAACCTGATTTATTTGGACAAATTACAAAGGATAGAACTCGTGTGAAACGATAACCTTAGGAAAAAACATAGTATTTGTTTTTCTCTTCACTGCAAAGACATAACATGAAGGAGAATTAAACCGTTTTAGCCACTATAGAGCAAGACATTCGACAATCGATCATTGTTTTTATGGTGATTCGATAACGGTACGCGGCTACTGTATACAAAACACCATAGCACCGTTACTTGCAACCATATAGGTTTTTATTGTAGTTCATAACAATTACGTAATACATATGCTTATTACACATGAGTTAATAAAGAATCTATTTATAAGCATTTTTTAGAAATTCAATGACGACAAAGTTACAGCGCGAAGTCGCTGACTCAGCAAATAATATATATGGGTAGTACCCCGGCTCTATTCAAGACCAAATACGCTGACCTATTTGGCTATGGAAATTCAAAAATATAATATTAAAAAGGCAAATAATGTAACTGCGTGAAAAGCATGTGGCATCGACCTTTGAACCTAATTATTACTATAAGGACAAAATATAGGCCATCCATATTTACCGACTTACGTCATACGTCACAAATACTTCTCACAGGACGCAAATGTATCAATTAAACATTTGCATAATACGACCAATTGGTTAGTGCAATATACGAACAGCTGTTTATTTTGTATATAATGTTTTGAGTTACTGTGACTACTTACAGTTAACTTATATTCATTTCTCGCCTTATTAAGATGTATGTCACAGGGGCAATTCTTAACTAAGCAATAAATTCGTATTATTCGTCGTGTGACAAGTCCACTCAATATTTTCATCACTTTTCAATGCATCACGATACATTTCATTTAAATCAGTATTTTTAAATATATATCGTTATAATTTAATTGCATTCAAGGCTATTTAAACATAGTAGAGATCTATAAACCTCATAAAACAGATTTCTTTTTTATATCCCAACAATCAAACTATTTCGAAAACAATAAAACGGTATTTCATTCATAAGGAGCACATGTGCTGCTGCAGGTCATTGACCCTGCCGGCCGATTCGCTCCTGGCATCGGTTACGATCTTTTTATTAGCCTCTATCCTTTCTTTCTATCGCCATTTCTGTGCTAAGCGCTCCATTTTACGGCAAACTTCTCACGGGATATAGACTACTTGTTGATAGCTTATATGTATAAGTATAATAATTCTTCTACTGTATTGATTCTTATACTGTAGGTACTAAAATAGTTTGATATATTAATTTTGCTAGGCATTATCTCCTAAATGTCGGTTTTAAAAAGGCTACATAAATACTGTCTATAGTTTACGCGAGTAGTACACATAAAAAAAACACTTTAACGGATTAAAACGCGATGTATTAGTTCAACTTATTTGAAAACAATTTTCAACTTCGTCTCCCCGTGACCACGGCTGCTGCAAAGCATCCGAAACGTCGGGCCAAAGTTAGAAGTAATTTTCAAATAAAATTTTAACTAATATATCGCGTTTTAAACCTTTAAAGTGTTTTATTTAAAGGCTACATAATACAATTACGAGTCGTGGCCCAGGCGCAATATATAAGGAGGACGTGGTTATCCCTTAATTTGATCCTATTCAGGAGTCTTTGTTCATCTATATATGTTGAGTATCTAATTCGGTTTTACGCAGGACATGAAGAAGTCGTAATGAACATGTTTATTGTTACGTATCTTTCTTTTTCAATTTATCAAACAGTACACTAAACTGGAACAGTCTATTCTGGATTTAACTGAAAAAGTGAAATTTCACGTCCCCGTGTGGGGCACGGGGCGATAAAATTTCTGTTCCCGTTTCACTGTTCAGTTCAGTAGGACTTTAATGCCTACCAGACCAAAACATTCTTTTGTTTCCCCAGGTTTCGAACCCAGGACCGCTCGCACTTAACGCAATGCCAACACGTTTAACCATTTAGCCACAGAGGCGGTCAGAATTAATCGTAGCAATGTGTAAAGAGCACGATAAACAAGAGCAGCAAATAGTCTACACGCGTTCCGATTACTTGCAAATGAATTATTCATCGTCCGTTTCGGTGGATCGCGTTTGCCAGAGGTCTAATTCACACTGGGGAGTTACACGCAACACGTTCTACGACCATCTCTTTATTGGTTTGGTGGTCGATTAAGGCTTTGGTTAGAAAAACAGTATTTCTCAATGAGGGCACAATGCATTAGGTAAATTATTTTTTCATTCGAATGTGTCAAATTATTAGAATTTGTGCGACGTAGAATAATAATAATAATAATAAAACACTTTATTGCACAAACAAATAATATACAGATATAGTAAAACTAAAATAATTATTTACATAAAAAAGTTAGTGCAAAGGCGGCCTTATCGCCTATGGCGATTTCTTCCAGGCAACCTTTGTATAAAGAAAAGGAAAACAAAATAACAATAAATGAGTAAAAGTCAACGAGAATGAGAGAGAATATGCAATAAATTGTAAAATACATTGATATCAGAACTAACACAACAAAAAACGTTAACACACTAAATATTAAAAACTTAAGATTTAATTTTGATTTTACAAAGATGCAACTTTATAAATAATAAAAGTATAAGCCAATAACATCAAGACTGGACAATACTTTCAAGAAAATGTTGTTTGATTTTGGTCTTGAAGGAGTCAAGACTTTGTGAGAGCCTAATCGCGGGTGGGAGCTTATTCCATAGGCGAACAGCCTGAACAGAAAAAGAAGAGTCATAGCATTTAGATGAATGGGCAGGCATAGAAAGGAGACGGTTGTATGAGGAACGAAGGTCAAGTTCATGGGAAGAACCCATAAATATAAACCTTTGTTTAAGATAGGTAGGAGTGCGAGGATCGAAGAGAATAGAGAAAAGAAGACAGAGGATGTGAGTGTTTCGTCGTAGTCTAATAGGCAACCAATTAAGTTTAGCACGGAATTCTGACACGTGGTCGTATTTCCGGAGACCATAAATAAATCTAATTGCAAAATTTTGAAGCCTCTCCAACTTATTTACTTGTTCCTCAGTTAGATCTAAATAACAAACATCGGCATAGTCGAGTAAGGATAACAACAATGACTCCGCAAGCAATATTTTTGTAGGAATTGGCAAAAAGTTTTGTAGACGGCGCAGCATATTTGCAACGCCGTATACTTTTCTACTAACTTTGTTAATCTGATCATTCCATGACAGAGTGGCATCAATATAGATCCCAAGATTCTTAACCGACTTACTATAAGGAATCTTGGTACCATGTATGCTTATAAGAGGTAGATTGTTCCAATCTACTTTCGACAGTTGTTGGGGACTTCCAATAATAATTGCCTGCGTTTTGATCGGATTTATTAAAAGGCCGTGTGAATTTGCCCAATCTACAATTACTTGAGTATCGGTGTTAATTAATTTGATCCCATCTAAGATGTTTTCTAAAGAACAGTGAGTGTAGATTTGGAGATCGTCGGCATATAAGTGATGACGACACGAGAATAGAGAGGAGATTGAATTTATAAAGATGGAAAAGAGGAGAGGAGATAATATACCACCCTGAGGTACACCGGAAGTAACAGTGCTCCACGAAGAGGTAGTATCACCCACCCGAATGCACTGCTGGCGGCCCCTTAGATAGTTATTAAACCAATTAAGAACTGTAGTCGAGACGTTAAGAGAGCGTAATTGCGCTAGTAAAACATCAAAATCAACCGTATTAAAAGCGTTAGAAAAATCAACCAGAGTCAAAATTGTAACTTGTCTATCATCTATAGCCATTCGGATATCATCAGTTACCCTTAGCAATGCAGTAATCGTGCTATGACCAGCTCGAAAGCCTGATTGATGAGAATTGAAAAGAGAGTTCTTGTTGAGGAAGAGACAAAGCTGTTGATGTATTAATTTTTCCAAGATTTTAGAAAGGAAGGGTAGAATTGAAATAGGGCGAAAATCGTTTGAGTTAGTAGGAATATTAACTTTTGGGAGAGGAATAATGTAGGCTTTTTTCCAGATGAGAGGAAACTCTCCTGTACGTATGGAATGGTTCAGGATATGTGTTAAGATAGGGTATATTACGTCAAGAATAGGAAGAATCATAGCACGACCAATGCTATCACAGCCCAAGGCATTAGAAGTAACCGACATGACAATTCTCTTAACGTCTTCATCCGTGAAATTAGAGAAGCAAAACTGAGGATAGCCAGGTTTAGGGAGCGAATAGAGAAAATTTAGAGTTTCAGCTTTTTTAGAGGGATCGAAAGTTTTAGGAGAAGAAGTAAAGTGCTGATTAAGTAAGTCAAGATTAAAATTGGGAGATACTGAAACTGAGCGAGACCGATTGCCGATACCCAAGGAATTGAGAAACTTCCAGGTTTTAGGCGTGTTTCCGCTCTCAACGGATTTATAAAAATATCTCCTCTGAGAGTCCCTACACCTTCTGTTGCATTCATTTCGGAGGGATCTATATCTCGCCAGATTGGCGTCATTGTTGTTAAGCTTAAACTTAGCCTTAGCACAATTTTTTTTATGGATGAGGCTTCTTAACTCCTTTGTTAACCAGGGAGAGGGAAAGTGTTTAATTTTAACAGGCCGAATAGGAGCATGTTTGTTATACAGCTTGTTTACATAGTCATTAAAACTATTTATCTTTTTGTCAATGGTATCAGCTGTTAAAACATCACCCCAATCAATCATACGAGCGTCATTGTTCAGGTCATTAACATTCATGGCGTTAAAGTTTCGCTGCAATATAATCTTATGCCTCTTCTTCGGAGGGCGAATGGTATATGAGAGAAACAACAGGTCGTGGAACGAAAAGGAGTCGGCTGATAGCTGGCCATGTTTTGCGACATGGTTGATAGAAGATACTATTATAAGGTCAAGAAGAGAAGGAGAAGCGCCTGGAAAAAAGTGAGTTGCTTGAAGAGGTAGTAAATTAAGGTTAGAAGATGCTATTATAGAGTTAATTTTTTTACTGCGGAAGTCATTCTTCAAAAGACAAGTATTAAAGTCTCCCATGATAATAGAGTGAGTATAAAGCGGAGAGAAATTTTCGAGAGTCTTTTCAAAGGAAGAAAAATAGTTAACATGCGAGGAAGGAGAGTAGAAAACTCCTAGCATAATTTTTGTCGAGGAAAGAGCAATTTCGATTAGGAGGTGTTCTGCAGCATCGGCTGGAGGCGGCTGAGGAGAGGTACTAAGCAAGTTATATACGATATCAGAACGTAAATAAATAGCCACACCACCGCCGACACGGCCAACACGATCATTCCGTATAAGATTAAAGCCTGGTAACGAGTACATAGAAGAGGACAGGCACGGTTTTAGCCAAGATTCTGAGACTAAAATAGCGTGAACAGGACTGGAACAGAAGGATGCAATTAACTCGGTGTAGTGAGCTGGGATACTCTGCGCATTAATATGCACAGGATTAAAGTTTTTGTGACAATTTGTAAAGGAGGAAGCCAATAATGACTCCAGTCGTGGAACGCTAACACCACCGCGACCAGATTCTTCACTATTATTTAAGGACTGTGCAGAACTATTGAAATTATCTTCATTACTTTGTGGAATATTTAACATTATGTTATGCTAGTACCTAATTTATCAACTAAATATAAAATATTAACTTAACCTAACGATTTAAATAAATTACTTATTCTGTACACCAGTAATTTAACTTACACATAAAAATAGTTTAACGTATTGTTAACTCCAGTACAGGCCATTCGCCAAAATAGAATGAGATGCTATATAATCTAGAAAAAGAAAAATTAAATGCTTTAAATCTGTGGTAACTGTAATTTGACAATGACATTAAACATAATGACATTCCGGAGTGTGACATTTACTATATTAAAGAATGTAAACAAAGTTACTACATATGATACTATAGTTATATTGTTGTTATATAGTTATAAGAAGTGAAAACAAGGTGCATTAAACAATTATACATCTAAGAATAAAAACTAAAGTATAATAAATGCCCACAACAAGCACTGGAGATACAATTATTACCGGTACATTTCAAAACAGCAAGAAAAAACCATTATCCGTCACCCAACTTCTTGGAGCGGGGGTTTATCCACTCTTTTCTCTGAAAATCTGGTGACGGATCTAAGCAAGGAGACAGATCCTCAACAGGAGCTGTGTGTGCACTAGTCTCGATGTCCTTCATGCTCTCAATTCGACGACGCGAACCACTAGGAGTCATGGCGAATATACGTCCATCTCTAGTCCAACATTTGTGCATACCAAAAGCTTTCCTGGCTGTCATGAATAAATAATGTCGCTTCTTCGTGAGAAACTCTGACAAGGTCAGCCCTGAACCCTTGAGGTTGGTTTTAGCGGCCCAGATTTTGTGCTTGAGATCAATATCTTTAAACTTTATAAGAAACGGACGAGGCTTAGCATCTTTTCTGGCACCGATTCGTTGACAGCGACTTACACTGTCAGGTTTCAATTCAGGACACTTAAGACATGCAGAAAGCTTATAAATTACAGAATCGATAGTAAGGTCGGCAGACTCACTGTAACCATGTAACAACAGGATCTTTCTTCTATCTCTCATCTCTTGTTCATCCTGCATTTTGAAAAGCATTTCCAACTGGGCTTGTAAGTTTTCAAGACAGGTAATAACTGAAGAGCGGAATGAAATAAATTCTGCATTCAAGGAAGATAGTGACGGCTCGGCGGATGATGGTGATGACCTTGTTGCTCCTGAAAGCTGGTTTTGGAATGCTGTCATCTGTTGAGCAAACCTCTCCGACATATCCTGAAGTGATTTTTGTAATTCCTCCATTGTTGCACCAAAAAAGTGAGTCAGTGAAAACAGAAAAACTTTGAGCTTGTAAAAGTGATAAGATGTGCTACTATTTTAGTACGGACTATAACATTAGGAAAATATACATCTGGTGAGTACAGAAAAGCCAAAATTAACACATAATAATATTATATTAAAATTTTCGCGAGATCAAAATAAAAATACGTTCACTTGTTGACTACCCTCACTCAAAAAAAAGAATTTCATGATTTAACTATAGTACCTTTATTTCAAGTTTGTGACAGCAATATTAACGTTAAACCTTCGACCGATCGAGGAGCTAACAACATCTCCTGATGATGCCATCCGCTCGTAATGGCGAAACGTCGAGAACCTCTTCTCGCTCACGGAGGCCGAACATCCCGAAAAACAATGATATGTTGAACGCTGACCGTTATTTTCATTATCAATAGTATACAGTTTTAAATTTCGAATATAAAAAGCACACATTGTCAATGTCGATTAAAATTAAAGTCACAATTTTAACGAGCTCAATTTTATGTCATAAGCATGCTTTATCTTGAACATACGACTGCCAATCGCCTCTTGAGTAAGGTATACTTCAAAAGGTGTTCTTAAAGGAAATTCGCGTTACTTAAGTACGGACTTGCTGAGTTGGAAAACAGAAGTAATATAGAAAACCACAGTGTGTGTAGTTGCCTTGAAAATAATGCACTTCGTCGTATGAGTTAGTTAAGGTATATTTTCTATATGTATCGGTTTAGTGCAAACTGATGTGCACAGAGAGGGTAACGTAGCACAATGACACATTCAAGGTTTTTTTTAATACGCGTTATTGACATTTACTAGTAAGTACATGTTACTCGTTTTTAATTAAGTATTTAAGGCTTAATTTACTATGCAACCGATTCTCATACGCCACAATCACGCAACCACATCAATTCGCAAACGAAAATTCAGACGAGACGCAATCTGGGAAAGCAATCTGCTATCGTATTTCCTCGTTTAAGTACATATCAGCTTTATTCGATCTTGAACGATACTACGTTGTCATAAGAGCGAATCTTGCGTAATCTGGCTTAATATAATTTGTGTCGCCGCATGGGAATTGAAACCTATGGTTTCTGGAATAGGAGTGATAATTGAATATAAATGGAACGTGTAATTACGTTCGTAATAAGTTATGAATTTACCGTAGGGATACTAAAATTAAAGTCGGAGCGCAGGCTTAACTTTTGCTAGACATAGTATAGAAGCCTACGTACGAAAGAAATCGCTCGACGCACTTATTATTACTTGTAAGATATATGTACAAAAGAGCTAATAAGGTTGCATAAATAGAGAAATTTAAACGTATTGCCTAGCCTTGCGTTAAGCGCGACCGGTTCTGGGTTCGAGCTCCAGGGAAACAAAAAATTGTTTCAGTCGGGCAGGGCACAGAAGTCTTGATCAACTACTCGCCTGTTGAAATGTGTTCGCCCCATGCTCCACGAGGGGAAACGGGATTTCACACACTTTAATATGTGAAATCGTTAACCACCTTACGACAACAATATTTACCAAGCATTTCCAGGTTTTTTTGTATTTTAGCTAGATTTTAACTTTCTGCCTCAAAAACTGTTTGGATAATTTTTACAAAGCAAAATGTATTAACGACATAAGTGCTACTGCTTTATTAGGTAATTTAAACATAGATCAAATTACCTAACTTTTACTGAATTTTATTAAATCGGCATATTGCACGTTTGAATTACACCCACAAACATATTGTCTTTATCTTTGTGATTAGCATATAGTATGAATAAGATAAGACAAAGTAGAGACACCAGTGTTACGCAATAAGGTTTTGTTCAAAAATATATGTAGCTGAAATCTAGATAGATTATTTATGATAGAAACAGATTAACTTAAAGATACAGAAACATTGTCCACGGTCGCTAGACAATACTATGCCAATCGGAGCGTGCATTCCCCATTGTTCTGAAACAGACAGACTATGACAAATCCGCGATAGGCCTTTACCGTATCAGACAGTCGGGACACGTTTTCAATATGAAAAGTTCCGCATTTCTTTAGAAGGAACCTTTGAAATTGCTATTAATATTTATGTCAATAACATTCTCGTTAATTTTGTAAATTTTAATTAGATTTGAAATCTGGTGTATTTACATAATTAGAATTTTTTTATAGTTAAGTTATGTATCGTAAACATTGTTAAAACTATTACAGAACAGTATTTAGGATATATCTATACTAATATTTAAAGCTCTAAATCTCTGCAACTACTGTTTCAAATTGCGAAAATTATTTTTGTTTTGGTTATAAAATGTATCGAGGAAGGCTATAGGCCATAAAACATCGCGCTGCGACTAAAAGGGGAGAAGAAACAGGAGGAAATGTGAAAAACACAGGGAAAATTATTTAAAAAATGTCCACGACAGTATGTCCATCTTTTAAGCTTGCAAGAACGACGGGATGCGGGGACGTCGTGGGTAACAGATAAAATTTATAAAGATGAAAAGAAGGTTTGCAGAAGGAAATTTGGATACATAAAATTAATATTCTATGCGGACGAAATCGCGTCCGCATAGAATATTAATCCGCTAATCGTAAGATAAGACACAAAAACATCTTTTAGATAGTATTTAAACCGCTGCCAAAGTAAAAGCCAATAAATCACTACAGAAATAAAATAGATACAGCACGAAATTGCGTGAGATTTTTAACACCGCTCTCAACATCTTCGGCTTTACAGTGCGCCACAAAAATAGACATCTAATTGATACAATCATCTCGTTACGATTTAATACTCGAGGCCTCTTTGGGATCAATTAAATCTTTGGGAGTTAACAATGAAGCAAATATATAGTTTTGGATATGCAGGGATCAAATGAAGAGGTACCCATACAAAATATTACTTACAAATTTCAGATAAAATAAAACTTATTATACAAACGTCCCTGTTAACTATAACACTAATTCTAAAATATTTTATTTTTAAGGATTTTAACGAAAGATAACACCACTTCAAGTGAATTAATTCACACATGCTTTGATTTAAAACCTTTGTTAACAAAAAAGATTGTAGAGAAGCCTAAGACGAAAAACCTAATATAATAATGAAAGACATCGACAAAGCATACATAAAGGATGTTAATTAATTCTCATCTCTACGAAGATCATACCGCATCCATTATTTACTCAATCTCATGATAGCTATTTGACTAGCAATTCCGGCAGAACAAGGTCATCGACCCAACACATCGGTGTCGAAGATCTTTATATCTATAGAATCTTATACTATAAAAGTTAACCATTAATGAAACTACTTTTAAATAGATGAAATTATTCAAAAATCTATTTGGTATTCAAATTCCCACGGCAGCCTTTGGTATGCGCCAATATACTGTGAGTGAAAAGATGAATAAAAAACAAACAATTGTAAGAATATAGATAAAAATACCTGTCGCACAGTAAGATTTCTTTAAAGAGTGACAGTTAAATTAAGCAAACCCAAAGTTTTTACGTTATTGTTGTTTTAATGTATAAGTCGAGATGTTTTCGTCAAAGTCCTACCTTAGATAGATAGAAGTTAAATCAACTATAAAAAATTCCACCGGTAATATGACTCAAATTAAATTTTTGTCGTGTGTAAACACAAAACAATTTTTATTCATTATTAAAAGAAACAAACTCAAAAGATCGAAAGCTAAGGCACCGAACAAAGTATCAATCGACAGAGTAAAGATATTTCCTTTTACAGAACACCCCCGGGTGACAACGAGGAGTATTTACGCCCTAAAAGGAGGTCAACAACGAAACACCCTCCGAAAGCACCACCCTAATGCCAGAATGTTTCAAATTTCTGAAAAACAAAGAGAAATGTGGGACTTTTTCATTTCTCGTATACTTTTTTGCGACCTAAAATCGCCCGTATTCTTCTGTAGACAAGTATCCGCAACTTTCCTCATTAACAATGTAAAGTGAACGAGTGGCAAGTTGTTGTTTATGAGAAATCTCAAGTCACAAACACAGGTTATACAAGTTTCCGGGCCGTTTATTTTTAGGGTCATACGGCGAAGCGAAATTTTACATGCGTCCAAGAGACCCCGTAATTATTGTACCACAATAATTTTGAAAATGTGAAAGAGGGTGCAGTAAAGTGAACAAGTATTTGCGCTTTCGGCAATTTTAAATAAAATATATTGTTAGGCTTTGTAACAAATAACAAACAGAGCTATACAAACAATATAAGGTTTTGAACATTAAGCAAACGAAATATAAAAAAAAATAGTGAGGGACGGACAAGAATGTCGTTCACTTATTTTTGATTAAAAACGTCTTGAACTCGGTGAATATCTAACTCGCGATCCATTGATTAATATTAACCATACATTGCCACCGTTAGAGTTAAAAATATTTCGATAATATTTTAGGTATCCGGAGATTAAGTAGTACTAAATTCCGAATAAAAAAAGAATAATTTAATACCCATACTCGAGTACTTACATATAAATATTGTTTATAAATCTAGGTTGCTGAAAATTGTGTTTATCTCTTGTAAATAGTGCATCGTGTTAGTCATCACTTTTCACCATAATGACGGCAAATTCCGCACGCAACGAACGGTGATACGGGTCGGTAAATACATACATTAGGACAGACAGACGGAATCCTACTTCTCTATTTGCGTAAATGTTTATATTAAAAGAGAACCATACACGTTCCAACATAACATTACTATAAAGACCTACAAAATTAATAACAGACCTCATTCTTTTGTTAAACTGTTTCTTAAATTGTAACTACAGGTCACGAAGAGACCACATTAATGTATTTTATTTTCGGAGTTGAAAAGATAATTTTCAGTATATATGTTATTAATTTAACTACGACCCAACACGTGCTTTCAGGAGCCCACATAACTACAGCGAAATTACATTATATATTTCAGTTTAATACTCTTAAATTTGCCAATATTCATTTGAATAAGAGATCGCAATGCATTAATTTAAAGC